GTATATAGAGCGTGAAGTGTTAAGAATACTAATGACTATATCCTTTGTTGTCTAACTTTTTTTCCTTTTTTGTCTATCCGATGCCAGCCACACAATCCTAGTGTAAAAGTCCTAGTTAGCATGTTATAGGTTGTCTTAGTAAGGCTCTTCCGGTGTCCCACATTGTACGAACATTCCATGTACCTAAATAAATGGTTGCTCTGGTTGTCAGAAGGCGCATCGGCCTCGTAACTTCCGAAGGAATTCGGCTTTCATCATGAGGCGTCATAGTTCTTCTAAATGAAGACCTTCTGACTCCCAGGGCAGAGTTTGAAAGGTTTGAATAATTTTTTCTGGTTAGCGTTTTTTTAGCGAGTTAGTTTTCTACGGGATGGGGACGCTAACCCCATGCCCAACCCTCCTCCTTTTTCCGGGCTTGGGACCGGCGGTAGCCCCCGGAGGGACTCCAGGCGGAGTTAGGTTATCTTAGTAGAATAGCTAATCCAGCATAATGCTAGAAACGTGAGTCTGAGTGGTGAGCGTAGGCAAACAATCTATATCACAGATTGATTGACTTATTCTCAATCATAAAGAGCTTGATACATACAAAATGTTCTGCCCCCACAAACATGGGTGGACTCAAATATAGACTCAAATATTTTGGAAAGTGTTAGAGAACACCTCAGCTTTTTAAGCTTAAGAACATCACAAAAGATCCATCAGAAGTCCCGCTAAAAGACTCCTGAGCTGGATTAGCGCACTCATAAAGATATTGTGCAACATGCACCAAAGTGTGATGGTATTTTGTGAAACCAAGCCTACCAATACAACCACTGTTAGTAAAATCCGTATCACGAATTTCGGCTGCGCCAAAGCAATAGATTCGATACTGTAGGTAGTGGAGTCGAAAATCATGTATCCATCATCCACAGAGTTGATAACATTTTGTCACCTAGGGCAAGTCATCGGAACGTAGAGTTAAAAGGTATTGTTTCATTAAACCTTTGTATATTCATGGTCTCCTATGACATTAGTACTGCTCTAATAATAGACCTAATCCCGAAATTGCACATTTGTCATGATGTAAATGCCTAATCCATAAGATCTTACGGGGAAGTCACATTATTGCCTACACTGGCTCATTGTATCGTAACAATTACCAATATATGATGGAAAACACATTCAGGCTGGAGATAGAACAATATTTTTAATATGAGTAAAAGATATAAAGTAACGTTCAACATGAAGCACGCTTGCAAGGTTGAGCCAAGCCATCTGGTCTACTCGAAGTAATGCGATTCATCCTTCCAGCCCTTGCCGTCGTTGGGTTTTTCTCCGCGTTAAATTTCGAATATCTATTTCCTCAATTGTCTCATGTTCCGCTTTGATAATTGTATGGTTAAAGCTCAATGCCACCAGCATTCGCCAACCAACCCTGTCCTAGACAACCTTTTACAGTTATTTCCAGTCGCTTTTCATTTTTCTGATGTCCACTTTCGATTCCCGATAGTGAGTGCCACAGTCCTCCTTTTTTTCGTTTCCCTTCAGGATTTGAAGTTAGCACTTGCCTCAAGATGCAGTTTGGTGATTTCCGAAATATGTGTCCTATCGACCTCCAGTATCTTTTCATAACTTCATCTTTAGCTGGATGTCGGTTTGTTCTCTCTCATAGTAGGCTAATGTTGATGGTATCCAACTAAAGAACATTGAGTATCTTGTGTAGACAATTGTTTATTAATACCTGTACCTTTTTTATGATTGTTGTAGTGGTTCTCCACGTTTCAGCTCCGTACAGTAGAACTGTATTGACTTTGAAATTGATGATCCTTTGATATAAGCGATTAAGTGTTCTGAGTTTCATATGCTATTCAACTGTAGGAAGTCCATCCTTGTTTTGCCAATCCTTGCCTTTACATATGTAGCAGATCCTCCTTGTTCACCGATGATGATGCCCGATTACGTAAGAGTTTCCAGCTCATCCAGAGTTTCTCTGTCAAATGTGTTTATGTTGGTGTCCTCCATGTTGTGTTTAAGGGTCAAGTCATTTCCTTTGCGTATGTTGAAGCCTATTAGTGCTGAGAATGCTGCTACACTGGTTGTCTTGTCTCGTATTTGTTCGGGCGTATGAGACAGAACTTGGTGATCTGCGAAGTCTATATCGTCCAGCCACATCCAGGTTGTTCATTGTACTCTGTGCTTCCCGTCATATGTAGAGCTCTACATAATCCAGTCAGTCAACAGAAGAAGGAGAAAAGGAAACAGTAATCAGCCTTGTCTGATCTCGGCCCTTATTTGGAATGCATCTGCCAGCTGTCCTCTACGCACGACGTCGCAGTGTAGTCCGTCATACGAATTCCGGATAATGTTGACGAAGAAGTTTCCAGAATCTTCTCCTATCCACACTGTTAAATGCTTTCTCGTAATCAAGGAAGTTGGTGTATAGTGACGAGTTACGTTATGTTGATTGTTTAACGATGATCCCTAGTATCGTGATTCTGTTTGTTCACGAGCGATATTCACAGCATCTGAACTGTTAATCTTGAAGTTGGCCTTCTACTGAGTCTGTAGAATTATGGTCTACATCATTATTAGTACAATTATTATAATAAACCTCATCATAAAATTGTAAATATGTCATGATGTGACTACCTAATCTATAAGATCTTACGTGGAAGTCATATCTTTGTCTACAGTGACTCGTTGTATCGTAACCATTGACAATTTAACACTCAGTACTTCTGAAGAACACCCTCAGGTTAAATATAGAATAATATATTTAGAGTGAATAAAGACAAGTTATACAAAATGACCACGTCTGGGAGGCTGAGCCTAACCATTCGATTGAATTAACTGAATATTCCCGCGTTCACCTTTGCTAGACGTCTCTATGTGTTAAATGGTAAACACCTATTTTCCCAGTTATCTCATGGTCAGGTTTGAGGATTGTGTGATTAGAACCAATACTGTCACAAGTCTTTTATCCGGTTCAGAAACGTTCTGTTCAAACTTTACCTGGTACCGATAGTGGTGTGATGCCTTTGTAGTTCTCACACTTGCTAAGGTCTCTCTTCTTTGGTATTTCGATGAGATATTCTTCATTCCGGTCTGTCAGTGGTAGTTGTTCTTCATCCCTAATCCTCCTGAATAAAGTGTGAGGCATACTTGCAGTTACTTCTATGTCCGACTTCGGTGTTTCGGCTGGTATATTGTCAGATCCTGCTGCTCTCATGATTTGTCTGATGACCAGCCATCCTAATTTCTTCGGTCGCTGGTGGAGTAACATCTACAGGAATGTCTGTGGGTACTGCCTCGATGAATGGTGGATTCAATGAAGCTAGTCGATTAAAGAGCATTCTATTCACCTGTTCTTCTGTTCTTGAATCTCGTTGATTGTCTTACCTTCTTTCTTCTTGACCGGTCTCTCTGGTTTACTATATTTCTCTGCTAGTTTCTTTGTTGTATAATATGGATTTTTCATACTTCTTTCTATCGCAGCTTTTTTCCGCCGTCATTTCTAGGTCTTCCACATATTCCTGCTTGTCAGTTCTTTTTCACTATCTTGTTTGCCTCTGTGCATTCAGCTTGTGCGTTGTTCGACTGTTATGAATTACCATCTCTTTGTTCTTCCTTTCTTGAATTTTGCCAGGGGTTTTGATAGAGATCCATTCCTTATTATGATACTTCTTGTGGCCCATCACCTCCTGACACGTTGACGTTAGTGCTTCTTTGATCCCTTCCTAGTTGTCCTCCATAGTAGTTTCTTCTTCTTACAGTAGATCATGTAAACCTTGGCACCTGTTGTTCAGAACCATCTTGAATTTGTTGAGTTTGTCAATGTCTTGAATGAAGGCTGTGTTGAATCTTTTCACTGCTGTTTATCGAGTTTTCCAGTTCTTCTTTAGCTTCAGTTTTAAATTGGGCACAACTAGGTGTTGGTCTGAAGCTATGTCAGCTCCTCCCCTGGTCCTCATATCTTCCATTGACCTTGCGAAATTTTGCTGATGGAAATATGATTTATCTGGTTCATCATGGTGTGGTCCGTTGAGACCTATGTGGCTTTGTTTATGCGTTTGTGGAGGTATTTGGTGGTGGCTATAACCATTTCGCTGAATGCACATAAGTTTGCGAATCTGTCGCCATTCTCGTTCCTTTCTCCCAGTCAGTCCATGTCACCACGTAATATCTCGATAATCGGTGTTGTTCATTAGGACTTTGGTGTTTAGATCTCCCATCAGAATGGCCAAGCTGTTTCCTGAACACTTTTCTGTAGTCGATTGCAGCCTCTCGAAAAACTGATCTTTATAGTCGTTGTTGCTACCATTGGTGGGTACATAACACTGGATAACATTCATTGTGATTCCCTCCTTTTTTGAAAGATGATTTGATGATTTTGGATCCATGAGACCTCCATTCTACAAGTGTTTTACATACTTCTTAGGAAAGCATCAGAGCATTTCCTTCTTACGCACACCCGCTTTAGAAGTTAGACCTCTTGACTCTGCTTCATTTCAGATTAGAGGGTAGTCCGGTTTAACTGAATAGAATTCTTGGAGGTGATTTCAGGTCTGACATATTTTCTCTATTCCTTTTTATCAGATCAGGACAACTCAGAAGACAGCAAGCACGTTTAATAGCCAAGACCGAACAAAATACATCTACCTTACAGGTTTATACAACTCGTTATAGACCCTCAGAACCTGCTGGTGGAAAAAGTAGTCCCTACAATTTCAATTGACTCATTCAAGAGAGCACTGGACACTAACAGAAGCTTAGCAAAAGCGATTAACACAGACCGTCGTTCTTCTATCTCAAATAAGCAAGTCTAAATCGGAATTCCGGATTTCTGGTCAGAATATTATAAGAATTGTATTTCTTCGTAGCCAGGAATATTCTTCTACGACCCAAATACATAGTCCTACGAACATACAGTCAGCTAATTCTACCGAGAAAAGTTTGGAGTTTGAACCTTGAAAAGCGACCAAGTGAGAAGTACGCGTTTCGGATTTTCACTCGCACTTAAGTACATACGTAAGTGGATTGTCATAAGTAATGAATTGACATTCTAAGTATATGGATACTTTAGGTTAAAATTATTTTGAAGGATCATTCAAAATGACCTTTCAGAAATCGCCAGTAACCTTAATAAGCTATTATATAGTCCTAGTATTGTGACAACATAATCTAATCCTAAAATGATATTTTGTTCACCTTAACAAATTGGTTTCTTAAAGAGGAAAACGGAATGGATTAAGTTCGGTGCCAAAATACTTGGTTTTCGCAAATGCTAATTATTGACTATCTTTGGAATTGACATCTGAATTATGTCTTGAAAAATACTACTCAAATCTATGAACTAATCTTCATAATTATGTCTTTTGTCCATAACTACCTGCCAGAATCTCTGGGCTAAAGTAAACTGGGATAGTGTCCTGGAAATCTTATAAGGGTTACTGAAAGCTACTAATTGGATGTATCCATGAAGATTTGGCAGTTCCTGCAGTGTATAAATTAGTGTAGTCTTCTGTATAGAGGCATATAATAGTTGTCATTATCACAAGCTAATGTAGATCATAATGGCCAAATTGCAGTATGCAAATTTCTTGAAAACATGTGCTGGTAGCAAGTCTTTCAAAGAGCGGATAATTTTCGTTTTAACATTTATGTTGGTCATCTTTGTTGCCAAAAGCAAAACAAATTTCCTTCATTTCCGTTCGAATCAATACTTTACTGGTTCTTGTGATATTGGTTAACTATTTTTGTTGCAAAAATAAACCATACATTTTTCACTGTTTTCGTGAAAACTGTATGATAACTGGGCTTTGAACATAGTAAGTATTTAAATCTGGCTTTATTGAAGTTAATCTGGTTATTCTTTGACTTTATGACATTTCATCTTTGAAATTTACGTTAAATGCACAACTTAAGTAGTTACCTTATTCCAGATGCTCCGCCCACGTGCTCTTACTTCTGCCCTAAGAAAGATGAATACTGGCGGAATACAATCAGTTATGTTATTTAATCCTGAAGGTGTTCTTCTTGCCTACACGAGCCTTGCTGGTGATAGTGAGCGATCTAAAGCCGCAATCGCAGCTAATGTTTGGAATATATATCAGCGCCAACTAGAGTCCAGTGAATCGGTAATTTTTCATATCATTACTTTGTTCATTCAAACACGTTTTCCAGTCTGAGAATACATCTATCCTCCTCTAAGTCTTCAGTTAAATGTCATTTTCGATTTCTCATCCTTAAGTTCCGTCCTTTTGAAATGTATTTCTGATACTTGGACCTCCATTGTTCTCTGCAATTCTTCCCATCCTTTGCTTTTCATCTTATTGATTTATTCTCGGTACGCTGATATGATTTATGCTGACTTGAATATATATATATATATATATATATATATATATATATATATATATATATATATATATATATATATATATATATAGACCCTCCAGTTAAACTCATTTAGTCGACATATTGTAACACCTTTGTTTAAATGACTCCAAAAATCAACCATTAAGTTCAGAGTTTAATTGAGCTAAGTTACTGATTCCGTTTTATTTTTTCTTGTAATTAATCTTGATATTCAATATGAAATCATCAAAATTATCACGTTAGTTAAGTAAGAAGAAGATAACGAATTCAACTAACAAGTTTTGAAATACCTTGACATAAATATTAAACTATAAAATATGGAGAAATCAGGTGCCCCTTAGAAAAAGTGCCAAGTTGTTATAACTTGTTCCTTGTGTCCTATTATTGTATAACGCAGTGATACCGCCAATTAGAGAACAGTGATTTATCGACCGGACCAATGACGCATAAAAACAAGTACGAGCAGTCTAGAGACCTTATTGGTCCTACTCTCCACCTATCCCTGCCTGTTAAGTCCAGTACACCAATCTCAGCCTCTGTAACATGAATCCCGCAATTCAAACATACTGGGTTTATATTACCAACCAGACAGATCACATCGTACCATAAAATAGGAAACAACATTTGTACAACATTTAGCCAAAAGTGGCTATGAATGTGGGAGATAGTAATTAATAGACGGCATAGTTCAAAAATGGTAAATCGTATAATAATAGTCCATAGGTCAAAATAAAGCTCATAATAAGAGGGACATGAATATGAATAATTTATTCATTTAACAATTATACGATAAAAATATACACATAATATTGGTTTAAGAATGGATCCCAAAAGTTACCATTCATTATACTGATCGGCGCATAAAGATTTACTATCAGGCTTGGTAATTTTCAAAATTCGAAAATGCTTATGTAGTCAGTTGCATACCCAAAGCAGCATGAGGAAGGGATTTCTATTCAGTCACTATCCTTTGTTTATATGAACTGTCGTTCATAAAAAAATATTAAAATAACATAGATTACAAAGTTTAAGTTCTGAATATACTGTCTAGACTAATTTTAAATGTTGGTAATTTTGGTTGACAAAATAGAGTAAATGTTAGTCAGGTCTTTTTAAAAAATCAGCTCTAAATTTAGGTTTATCAGGATGCTTAATTTAATAATCTAGACACAATGGTTATTCTGACATTCTATGTAATGGTTGTCTCATAAAATACCTGTCTAAAATCCATATATAGATTAGTATTTCATAGTTTGTGCATTTAATAAATACTGTCTATTTTACAAGTAGTGTTCTATTGATGCTAATTATGTAATGGCTTTTTAATTCATTAAATAGTCCTTTTTCAAATTAGCCTGACTTTTCAGCTGGTTGTTACTCCATTCAGTCGTACTTATAACCAGTGTTTTGTAAGTAATTATATCAACGGACTAACAGTAGCTTTTTGTAGTAATCCAATGGTGAGTTTATGAAGTGGATGAATCAGTGATACGTGAACCTGGACTCAGATGTATGAATCAAATACTCACTCCTCAACAGATTTTGTAACGCACACTTGATTTTCGACGCCCGACAGTAGTTGTATTCCTTAACTTTAAGACGACATTTGACTGTTGACCATGAGGTTCTATGGCAGTCTCATTTAAAGGTGTGCCTAAGAAGTACGATAACCTTGTACAGGCTCTCTATTTGAACATTACTGGTCGAATCATAGTTTATGGTGGACTTTCATAGGAATTGATTACTTCAAGTGATTATTTATTTATTTATTTATTTGAACACATAAATATTGGTACAAGAGAGCGCCAATATATATGCGCCACACAAAACAATGGGAATTCGAAGAGAAGTAGAAAGAGAAAAAAAACTAAGGAACGCAAAAGAAAAAGAGAACAATGACGAAGAGATTGGAGTAAGGTAGTGTGGTAGTAACGACGGGACGAAAAGGTACAATCAGAAGAAATCTTTCAGGTAAGGGAGACACAACCACTTTTTATGAAGAAAGTAAAAGAAGGTTACAGCAGGATCGCCACTGGCTTCTATTCTGAGCCATATCTGATAACGTCTCTAGCCACTGTGTAGCACCATCTCTCGGACCCCAGCCAGGGAGTCGTGAAGGACCAACACAAGCCAGTCCTTTGCAGCTTTCTTTCATGCCACGACACCATGTCATGCACTGACCACCTCTCCGCTTCTTCCAACCAGTCCCAGAGTCGGCAAATAATGCACGACGTGGAATTCTCTGGGACGACATTCGGAGAACATGTCCAAGCCACCGAAGTCGGTGTTTCAAGATGGTAACACCAATTGAGTTATCATCTCTGTGCCCGAACACACGATCCCGAACCTCTGCATTACTGACATGGTGTTGCCACTGAATGTCAGCAATCCTTCGGAGACAGCGATGATCGAACACAGAGAGTCGTCTAACGTCCTCAACTCTGAGAGACCAGGTTTCACAAGCATAGAGCAAAACTGCTCTCACCGACGCGTTGTAGATCCGGCCTTTTACAGCCAGACTAACATCACGAAGGCGCCAAAGGTGGCCCAGATTGGCATAAGCCGCTCTGGCTTTCACTATTCGTGCATTGATCTCATCACTCACACCCCCACCAGCACTTATGCAGCTACCCAGATACACGAACTTCTCAACTACGTCTATCTGCTCACCGTCCAGGGTGAGTACAGGATTGGAATCTTGCCAGTCTTGTAGAAGTACTTTGCACTTGGAAGGTGCAAAGCACATACCATACCTACAGACACTGATTGCCAACTGATTAAGTGCGGATTGCATGCCTTGGGCATTATCGCACAGTAAGACAATATCGTCCGCATACTCAAGGTCGAGAAGTCTTTCTCCAGGCAACAGATCCACACCACCATTACTTACATTCATCAGAGCTGTTTCCAGAATGTCATCGATGGCAAAGTTGAAGAGGAATGGTGAGACTGGGCAACCCTGCCTAACCCCACTGCTCGAATGGAATAATGGAGAGAGGTGGTTGTATGCCCTCACTCTGCCTGAGGTGTTTTTATACAGGGCTTTTAGGATGTTAATAAACTTCTCAGGCACACCCTTCTTCAATAGACAATCCCAGAGAACAGTCCTATCCAACGAATCGAAGGCAGCCCTGATGTCAAGAAACACTACGATTGTTGGCCTTTGAAAAGTATGGCGGTGTTCTAACATTTGGCGGAGGGTGAAGATATGATCAATACATCCTCGACCAGAACGAAACCCGGCCTGCTCCTCGCGAGTCAATCTTTCTCGGGTTTTGAACAACCTACGAAGAATGACGGAAGCCAATAGCTTGGACGCAATCGGAAGTAAACTTATCCCCCGATAGTTGTTACAAGAACGACGTGAACCCTTTTTAAAGATAGGGACAACTATCGACTCATTCCATGACGTTGGTACACTCTCTAGTTCCCAAACCTTTGTAAACAACGTCGTCAATTCCTTAGTCAAAAAGTCACCACCATCTTTAAAAAGAGCCGGAGGTAAGTCATCTGGATCAGGTGATTTGTAACGCTTCAAGAGTTGGAGTTCCTTGCGGACTTCCTCCTCATTTGGTGGATCAGTCGTCACCGGCCATGGAGGGCAGGACAGTCTGACCGATGTTGCCGGAGCAGCAGGCCAGTTGAACTGCCCTTCGAAAAATTCTGCCCACCGTCCAAGACGTCGATGGATGTTAGTGATTGGCATCCCATCATCCTCGCAGATTGTTTCACTCACACCAGACTTCTTGCTGTCAGTGGCTCGGATGAGCTGGAAGAGCTTCCGGTAGTTACCAGATGCAGCTGCTGCTTCCAGCTCATTAGCACGCATCGACCACCAGGCTTCTCGGTCCTTACGCAAGCTTTGCCCAATTTCCTTACGTAACATCCTTCGTTTATGGTCAAACTCACGGTCACCCGGAGTAGACCGACGGGCTTCAATGAGTTGTAAGGAACCTGGAGAAACCCAGTGCTTAAAAGCGGGACGTTTCGCAAACCCACAACTGACTGTACCCGCCATTTTCATGGCGTCATGCAATTGCAACCAATGCTCATCTATACTTTTCGGTGGAGTGGTAGCTAGCCTAAAGGCTAGCTCGGTTCGATACTTACTTGCAACAGAAGTTGCAACCAGCTTGCTAACATCAATGTTTTGGTGGTGGTCATTTCGTTGGCCACTGGAAAGTAAGGTAAGATTGGCGCAGACCAAGGCATGGTCAGAGTCCAGATAGGTACTCCAAAAGGAGCGGCAGTCTTGTACACAACCACGCCAGCGGTAGCTGATCGCGATGTGATCAATCTGAGTCCAGGCTTGAGATGCAGAGGGAAGACGCCAGGTGGCACATCGGCGATGACTGTGCCGAAAGTTAGTGCTAGCCAGAAACAGGTTGTGGTCTGTGCACAGTTGCAGTAGACGGTCCCCGTTATCTGTCCTGCGACCAACGAGTCCCCATCGGCCACCTAAACGACTCTCTTCTGTGCCTAGACGCCCGACCTGAGCATTCAAGTTTCCGGCTAGTACTACAATATCTGTCGAACGCACTTTCTGGAGAAGAACTGATAACTGGTGGTAAGACTCATCCTTGATTGCATCCGGGCTGCAATCTGTCGGGGCATAGGCGGAAATGACGAAAAGACATCGTTTCTCACGCCGATTTCTTCTCACTTTGATAGAACTTTCTAATCTAACAGCACATAACCGACTGTTAATGGGGATTCAATCGACTAGTGCTGCCTCAGCTCTAGCGCTTAGTGAGACACCAACGCCAGCAAGACCAGACGAAGATGCCACAGTGTCCCCGGATAAGCGCACGTAAAACAAGCTTTTTGAAGCGACAGATGGAGATCGAATTTGTAGTACTTCGCCAGAGTCTTGAATACGGGTCTCGGATAGACAACAAACATCAATATTAAGACTTTCCAAAGACATAGCCAGCCCTATCTGTTGTCCGACCTGCATAAATGTGCAAACGTTGAAGGCAGCCAGTTTGAATGGTGCACGTGGTTTCAGAAAAACTGCTTCAGTTCTCGTATTCGGTGGTAACATACAATTTTCAACCGGACAGTGACTCGAGAACGTTTAGATACAGTCGGATTTCCACCAAAGACGAGCCGCTGTATAGGTATAAAAGAGGGTGAATAATGTGGAAAATAATAATAATAATGATAATAATAACAATAATGACAATAATAGTAGTAATAATAATATTAGTATTAATAATGACAATAATTGTAATGATAATAATCTGAATCAATTGTTTGTTTTTCAAAGCGAGAAAGGTAATTTCCATAGGCATAAAGAGTTCATCAATTTGTGTGTGAGCTGTGATACTGCCCGGGTGCCCAAACCGAAGCAGGTGGTTATCTTAGGGGGCCACTCCCCGAGCCTTTGACCTAAAGGTCTAACCCACAAGGCAGTGGAGCATCGTAAGGAGATGCAGTCCCATGGTAGCCGGTGACCAACGATTGGTTCATACGCCATTCGTTCCCGCAGGATACTGGAGCCCATGTGCACCATTGATTTGGAATCCGGTTAAAGCGCCGGACATTCGCTTTTCGTCCTCTCATTTTCGTAGACAACACCCCCGCCACGAGAAGGCAATGAGTAGGACTTCCCTGGCAGAGGCTGTATACGCGTGGCCGTGTGAGAGTATTTCGAGAGGGAGAGCGGACTCTCCCCACTCTCGGCCGTACCAGGGCATTCAGGGGGCTAGTGATACTCGTCAAAGTTGTCCGCTTTCCCCATTTTTATCTTACTTTGTCATAGACGTACTTTTAGAGATAATACCGTCATCTTTGACTTTTTAGGGATTGGTCCCGTACCAGACCACCCATTTCTTGACTTAGAATACGTAAATGATGTAGTTCTGTTTAGTTAAGAAGCTGAAAAAACTCCGTCTTCCGATCGCCCTAAGTAATGATGTAAGCTTGTTTGTGATGCGGCCCTCTTCCTCCAAACGCAAAATGTCGCTTCGGGATTTGCTTGTGACATTCCCTTATTTAATGGCAGGGAGTGAAGCAGTTAGATGCATCAACCGCTTCTTCTATCTCATCAGTCCTGATGGTCTGGTGTCTGACGAAACCCTGCCACGGATTCAGAAGACCCTATCGGCTTTTGCCAAATTCAATCAATTGTGGCGTAGGGGAGATATCCGTCTTCCAACCCAAAGACGAGTTTACTGCTCAGCAGTCAGCTGTGTTCTACTTTATCAGCGTGAAACATGGCCATTAAAGATATAAAGCATTCTCGAGTTACTGGTATTCTATTACAGTTGTCTTTGAAGCACTATTAATGCATTTTGGGACCACCGAGTAACCAGTCTCTGGATTGAGAATAGGGTTCTAGGTAAAGATGGCAAATCGATCGATTATGTGGTAGATTTTCATCAACTGAGGTAGTTGGGACATGTGTTACATATGTCCACCCATCTCCTACCTCGACGGTCGATATTGTCTTGTGTAGGAGTAGGCTGAAAGTTAAGGGTGGCCAAATCAAAACATGGCACCAGTCCATGAAGTCGCTGACAACTAGACTAAGCCATCTTAATAAATGTGGACTACCGAGTTGGGGTCCGTGTGATTATCATAACCAATGTTTAAAGACTGAATGATATGGCTCAAAATCGTTGGTAATGTCGCAAGTGCGTCCATTCTCTTTCCTCAAGTTCTAAGCTTCTGAATTCCACAATTTTTATTTCACTAATTGTGTTTCCTTAGATCATATCTTTCATGTCTGATCTTTTCCGTTGCCACTGATACTATTACTATTTCTATTATTCTGGGATTTGGTCTGAAAATTTCATCTCAATGCTAATTGGGGTACGGCAACTTGAACCAATGTACATACGTACCGGATTCTACGTTGTAACTGACGTAAAATATTGGTTTTCTACTACTCGCCATTTGTGTATCTTAGTATTGGATCGTCTAATAATTGGTTGGTGTGGTCGTGAATCTTCATCGATTGGGGTAATTAGGACATTTTTTAGCCACCATGTACCTCGACGGGCGATGTTTCCTAATATATACTAGGTTAGATGACAAAGTACTGTAGTTGCTAGGACACGGGTACTAGGTAAGAGTGGCAAATCAATTGATGAAGTAGTGAAACTTCATCAGTTGAGATGGCTGGGACACGTGTTACGTATGCCCAACCACCGACTGCCCCAACGTGCGATGTTTTATGGTGTAGGAATAGTTTGGAAGAAAGCTAGGGGCGGCCAGACCAAAACATGGCACAAATCCATGAAGTCACTGACAAGTGGACTGAGTTATGTTGGTAGGTGTAGACTACCCTGTTGGGATCCGCGAGATGATAGCAACCGATGGTTAAAGACCTTAAACGATATAGCTCAAAATAGTTTGCAATGGCGCAGGTGCATCCACTCTGTTGTTTGTAGGCTATACATTCCAACACTAGGTTATGGGCTTCGTTCCTGCTTCAAGGTTTAGGTTGTCGGTACTTATAATACATCTCGTATAATAATCATGTTCTGTATGCAAGTATACAAACCTGTTTATCTCCTCCCATATATATATATATATATATATATATATATATATATATATATATATATATTCATTCTTATCATTTAAGTGTCAAATCTCGCCTTACCAGATATTCCCAGACATAATATGTCGTGAATTTAAGTCATCAGTGCTTCAGAAGTTACTTCCCATAACTTTACTACTCATAAGTAAGTGAAACGTTTTATTTAAAAACTTGATGCCAATTATGCCGTGAATATTTCATGTGATAAAATTATTTAAAACACAATATTTTTCTTATTTACTTTTAGGATACTGTCCAGGAAATAATCTTGAAATTGTCTGAAGGCAGACTAATAATTACACGTGTAGCGTCAGTTCTTCTTTGCCTCCATGCCTCCAAAGATGTTGGTTTGGGAATGTTACGAGCTAAGATGAATGCTCTAGTACAAAATTTACAAGAGCCATTGAGTATTATTGCAGCTTCCTAAAATCTTTCAATTAGTTTGCACATTATTATGTTCTTTTCAGACTTTTGTAAATATACACCTATTTTCACTAGATGTTAATGTTTTTCTGTCTTATGGTTTAATTTTGTGATGCTGTTTTTTATACTATTTGTTCATCCTAGATCCCTTTGTTGATAGTCTACATTTTAATTAGATATGTTATAAGGTTGAATTAATATGCTATATAAAAATGTCTAATCGACTACCTATATGTTAATGTGATAAACTATATAAGAAACATGTTTTTGAGTTTAGTTGTGCTAACTTCTTCCTTAAAATTGGGCATTTAGAGCCGGGGTACACTTTTCTGACTCAGTAATTGTACTTTAAATACGAAAACCAATGAACTTCAGTTCCAAATGGGACGTAATAGGTTTTCAGAAACCTGAATCGATTAATAATAAGGGTGTATTAAATTTTATTTAGTTTTTAGTAGCTTGAATTGCCCTGTTGTTAATATTTAAGCTGAAGTGTGATCAGTTGTTGGTATTTGTTCTTCTTGACGAGTCGCAAGTATAACGAAACGCGTGTTCTAGATTTCACTGCTAACCATTTTCCATTGACTCTATATACATATATTTCCCTATCGGTCATTCCTCAACTAATTATATAACCATGTTCATTTCCAAAATCCTTCTACAATATTTGAAGTCGACCTAAGATTATCATTAATACTAACCCATACCTGACTATTATCTAGTTTGTCGCTGACTGTAACTTCGTCATGAGTTTTCCAGTCAGACTCGTAACTAAATATCGAGATGTACAATTCTAACAATTAGCTTATTTTATGTGAACGTAACTTAGCCCTCGTTCTTAAAAAAGTAATCGCTATTGTAAACATATATTCTAACAAAGCGTCCAATACTTCAGAAACATTTTAGCAGATGAATCAAAACTCATCTGTAACTGCATAGCCGTAATCTTAGTCTTACACACTATTGACTAAAAATTTTACACATTTTTTTATAAATGTCATTTGTCCATTACTCACCGTTTCAAATATGTCTTATAGTGATAATGATTTTGTACATACTCATTACAATTACAATACACCCTAGATTTACTTGAGTTTAATTGTTTACTTATAAATGTTACATATTTTTACTAGATTTCTCTCATAAAGTTTATCTGTTCTTAATCGATATCATTGTTCATATTTACTCAAAAATTCAGTAAATTAACATTACTTTAAGCACTAATTGAATAAACATTGAATTGTAATAATTTAATAAAATTATTTTTGTCGTTAGTTTAAGTAAATAAACAACTAAAATCTTTTGAAAATAAAATAGCTAGTTTATGTCGTAATTATGTTTTTAAAAAGTGAACACAATGTTATCTTCCGCGTCCATCTGTAATACATCTAAGTGTTAATAACTCAATTAAGAGAAAAGAAAATTTCAACCCGTAATAAATGATGTAAGATTTATTTCTTTAGACATTTAACTTTGAAATGGCGTTATTTTGATTATTGCTCCTTCTCCTCCTCCACTTATTAACAACTGAGATAATCTCACCTCTGCAATATCGTATTAGTATAGAATACCAATTGGTATTTTGTAGTTTGTTCTATGTATTTGTTGATTGTATGTAATTTGAGTATAATGCTGCAACTCTAATATAAATTATTATTTTTAATTATATAGACTTTTGTAATCCAACCAGATTAAGAAGACTATTGATACCCAGTTATTTTCTGCATAATTTACGTAGACACAGTTTAAATACTTGGCTTTTATTATCGTAAAATGATTCCTATCATATCAACTGATCATGAATCATCTGCTGAAGCTATAGATGGTGGGAAATATAATTATCACGGGACATACGTTAATGAAGAATCATCCGTTCAAGACTCAACAGATAACTTAACAACTTCTAAAGTATCCGAAATCACAGAACAAGCACAATCTAATTCATTTCAGAATAACGATAATAACATACATACATCTGAAGTATCTTGCTCTACTATGTCATCAAATTTGGATAATGTTACTTCCAATGAGACTAAGGTTGGAAATCATTCATTAATAACTAGTGATAATAATTTACTACCTCAGTTAACTTTACATTCCTTGGCATATCGTTCCCCTGCTCCATTTTGGTACGAACCATTAGCTATGGCGGCAAACCATGCATGCGATTATACAATTAAAATTACTTTAGAAATGGCTAAATCTGGTAAAGGTAGAGTCATATTTTGCTTAATTTTCTTTATCTAAATATACGTAATTTCTGTTTAAATTCATACAAACACATCCACCCTTCTATATGCTTCTGATAAATATAGCATATTTTTCAATTTTAATTATTTTGCACGTTGACCTAGTCGACTTATGAATTCAACTATTAAAACCACTACAATCTCCACAAACCCCTATTCTAATAACAATCGTGTGCTCACTAGTGACTGACTTCAAGATGGGTTTCCTAGAGTTCTACTGAGGAGCCGTGACCAGTGGAGTACAATCCGTGTCGTGTAGAGACAGGTATTTACCTCAGACAAAAGATGAATGGTTATACAAGACCATGGATCGATTGAGGTTAGACATTAACACCGTTGTATTCCGGCTCAGTGGTCTAGAGGTTAAGCGTTCGCGTGCGAGACCAAAGGTCTTGGGTCAGACTCCTGCACGCGGGATCGTAGATGCGCACTGCTGAGAAGTTCCATACTAGGAAGAAACGGCCGTGTAGAGCTTCCAAACTTTTAACGGTGGTCTAGCTTACATCGAATCACGATACAATGGTAGGAAAACCCAGTAGTAACTGACATTCAGCAATTTAAGCGTCTACACCATTAAATCAAACTAACTGTTGTTGTCGTCGTCATTAAAATGGATAAATTAGTTACAATTAACAGAAAAACTATACACAGTGCTAATAAATCCAAAATGCTTTTTGGTTATTTTTATTGCGGTAATAATATGAACTTCAAATAAAATACTTCTCTGATATCCAAAATATATTAATGTAAACGAATAACATGAGATACAGAAATATAACAAATAAGGGACTGAACAGAATCTGTTCCTTAACTTATGCTTTCAAATATTTTTATAATTAACCAACTGTTCTACATTCTATGTTAAATTTGCAACTCTGTTAAGGCTTCATCGCCTCGATATGTAGTGTTGACGTAGGTGAAAGTAGGTTGAAAGAGGGAAATATAGTCACCCCCTAGAAATGTTATTAGCGTATAAAGCTACCGGTTGATATTTCGTAAATGTAAATTTTCTTTCCACAGTCATCGAAAGGTAAAAATTGATGAATTACCATATCCATTGTTACATATACGCAACTTCTAACTACAATATAGCAGCACATGCTCTGTCGTTCTTTATCTATTTCGAAACTTAAACATACTTATGGCTTATGTATATTTATCTTTTGTTTACTAAAATTTTGTTCATTTTCATATACTTTCGCTCCTTCGTTGGGTTTTTACTCTGCTAATTAATCAATGCAGTGCATAAATGTTGACAAAACCATCTTTATTTATGTAATCCTGTTTTAGTTAACATCTTTGTAGTAAACCTATGTTGGTAAATGCTGTTTAGAAACACGTTGAACGAGATGACTAATTACCATTAGTTCGTTATGACTTACGATGCGATCCACGCTTCAACTCACAGATTTCTTATTGCTTTTGTTTACATGTACACCTACTAATTATGATATCTCTAGCAAGTATTTGGTAGAAGTATTCCATGAATTAAATTGACAGTATTCATTTTAACTCATTTAGGAAGTGCAGATAAGTGTACTTGGCTTCGAACCATACTGTAAAGGCTAGTGATACTATGTGAATGCTGAAAGCCAAAATATGTGAAGCAGGCTTCGAGCCTGGAAATCAATGGCTAAACGTTAAATGCCTTAACTACTGAGCCAGTCAGTCATGCGCAACGTGGAGCTTGACATATGTACATCATTTCAAATTGCCACACCATATCAGTACAGCAAGATACGATATTGGAGTAGTAGAGGTCGCAAAAGTTTATTGGTAGTAGAGAAGATTGGATACTAAAAATATTATTGCGAAGGAAAATATGAGGCCGTGGAAAGAAATTATAAAATAATTCAAAAGCGTAGGACTAAAGCGAGGACAAAAAACCACCATGTTAAAATTAGTGGTAATTTTTTATATTGTGCAGTTAACTATACATCCATATGCATAAACCTTGTCGATACTCCGAAAAAACTCAACTAAAACTCATACATTTTTTACTGTCTTGTTATTTTAGCTCCTAGACCAGTCCGTGTGTATGCTGATGGAGCATATGATATGTTTCATTCTGGCCATGCTCGTCAGTTAATGCAAGCGAAGTGTGCCTTCCCTGACACTTACCTTATTGTTGGTGGTAAGTTTGATTTGATTATTGGTAGTAAAACATCTTAAGAGATAATTTTAAAGTGACAATGATAAATCTCTATAAACTTTGTTAGCATTTAATCATGATTTCATTTAGTTACATCAATAAAAGAAGGTTTAATTTTGACAGTAAACTGTTCTCTTCAGTCCACCCGTTAGGTATTCCTTAAAGTTTAGGCATGAAGTGACATGTAAGACTACCAAGTTACGTTTTGTAACTTATTTTCTGATAGACAAATGATACCATTTAATTTTTTCAATAAATATTTGTACTGATTGATTCTTACTTTGATTCATGTGCTGCAATTTTATCCCAGTCTCTAATGATGCAGATGTTCACCATTATAAGGGTCGTACAGTCATGAATGAGAAAGAGCGTTATGAAGCTATACGACATTGTCGTTATGTGGATGAAGTTATAAATGATGCTCCTTGGTCTATTACTGATGAATTTTTGCAGAAACACAAGGTAATTAATCCAATGATATTAATTGTAATATCTTTGTTATTGTTTTTTGAATTCTTTTATTACGCATCTCATCTTGTGCTGATTTGGTGTGACAACTTGGAATAAGATATATTCATGTCCAGGCTCTACATTGTTTATGATCAACCGAATGAACTTTAATATTCAGTCATTTTGCTACTTCTGTGGATTTATGATTAACAGCACTCAACTTAAAACCAATACGTCACATGTTCGTAATTCACTTCATCTACTTCCATTTGGGGAGCTGCATGGTATTTACTGAATATCATAAATAATGTGACTCATAGCCGAGCACATAAATCTGTAGTTAATAAAGGAGTTACATAATCACGAGTGTAGTAGTTTGTATTTTTGTCGATTTAATTTGTTAAGTGATTTTCGCTTAGTTATTCTCATGTGCTTTTCACTTAATACTCGACACCTAAAATCATCATTACTCACTTAGTTTCATCATATGCGAGTAAATAATAGTAACCTGCGAATGTTTTCTACTTTATATATATATATATATATATATATATATTTCACGGCC